GAGGTCTACGTGCTGTTGGTCAGCATGCAATTAACTTAACTGGTAGGGAGTTTTATTGTCTGCAAAACAGCTCACAGGATGTGGCTCAGGAGGAACTAAAGGTCTTCTTGTTATTTTGTCTTGCTTGACTGTTTGCCTTTGTTTTTACATTTCCTCACTTCACTGATTAAACTTATTCTCTGGACCTAAGAGAAAGCATAGGACACAACAGCCTCTCTCTAAACAAGAGGTGAGTGACACCTCTTGGGGAGGGCTCTGTTCAGTGGAAGACCCTGCAAGGTTCCACTTTCTGTTTCTATGAATTTGGCCATTTTAGACACCTCATATACATGAAACCACATAGTATTTATCTTTTTGTGACTGGCTTATTGCATTTAACATAGTGTTCTCAAAGTCGATGCGTTTTACAGCTTATGATAATATTTCTATTTTAAAAAAGGCTGAAAAATATTCCATTATGTAGAATTTACTTACATATACTCCATATATATACATTTGGTTTATCTGTTCATTTGTCAGTGGACATTTTGATTGTTTCCACCTCTTGGTGGTGTTGGCAACTTAGCAAGGTTTTGAATATACTGGGAGGTTTGGCTTCATTTCTGTAGTTGAAATCTAATTCTCAACTGGGTTAAGAAAATGTCTAATGTCACTTCTTCCATATTTGTTGAAATTTGTTTTGCTTTGTGGCCTAAGACATAGTCAGTTTTGTAAATCATCCATGAGTTTTTAGAAAAAGGTTTTCCCCAGAAAATTGGGTACATGTTTCTATTGATGTTCCTTAGATCAAATTATCTATGTCCTTACTAATTTTTTTTGTTTTTGCCTATTTAATCTGGCAGTCATGGAGAAAGAAAGTAAAAGTGTTAGTTGCTCAGTTGTGTCTGACTGGTTTTTTTAATTAATTTATTTATTTTAATTGGAGGCTAATTACTTTACAATATTGTAGTGGTTTTTGCCATACATTGACATGAAGAAGCCATGGGTGTNCCCAGTCCATCCTAAAGGAGATCAGTCCTGCGTGTTCACTGGAAGGACTGATGGTGAAGCTGAAACTCCAATACTGTGGCCACCTCATGCAAAAAGTTGACTCATTGGAAAAGACCCTAATGCTGGCAAGGATTGTGGGAAGGAGGAGAAGGGGATGACAGAGGGTGAGATGGCTGGATGGCATCACTGACTTGATGGACATGGGTTTGGGTAAGCTCCGGTAGTTGGTGATGGACAGGGAGGCCTGACGTGGTGCGGTTCATGGGGTTGTGAAGAGTCGGACGTGACTGAGTGACTGAACTGAACAGTATAAAGTCCTGAAATCAGCACATTATATGGTGCCCGCCAAAACCGAAGCATGGGGCTACTAATTTTTTAATAGGTGTTACATGTTTATTTTTGAATGTAGATCTTGGCTGTTTTCCTTTACGTATTTTGCCTGCTGGCTCTGAGTTTTTGTCATATGCAGATGCACATTTGCTGAGCAGGACTTCTGGCTGTGGCTCTCTGTACACTTTTATCTAGAATTACTGGGTCGCCATATATACATATACATATATGTGTATATATGAATCTCCTCCCCAACCCTCCCTACTTCCCCACCCCTTGGCACATGAAGTCCACTCACGTGTCTAAAGGAAGACAAATCTGGTTTCAGGTAGTCGGTTTGCGTGAGAATGAAAATGTGCCCTGTTATAATACAGTGTGTGTCTTTGTCATACCAATGAACTCCTGTATTATTGGGAGAAAGAGGTCTGCAGAACGTTGAAGTTGTGGTGGTTCACGTGTGTTTTTTTCTAGGCAAAGAGAGTCAAAACAGTGGGGAAAGAATTGGGATATTTATCAGGCAAGAGCCCCTGATTCAGTAGGTGGGCAGGCTACCCTGTCAACCCCATCACACAACTGGAAACCAGTGCCTGCTCAGGACTCCCATCCCAGGAGAAAACCAGCCTGGCCCAGTTTAGACTCCTGTCCTCTGCCTGAGCACTTCAGATTATCACGTGAAGAATTAGGTATTGTTATTCTGAATGCCCTGGTGATGAAGTTGCATAGATTTTCAGTAGACTGCCTCACCGCTATGCTTCCCATAACTCTATTTTTAGTGTCTATTTTACAGATTCATGTAGCGTATACACACAACAAAACGGATCCACCCATAATTAGCTAAAAAGAAAGTTGCGGTGCCCAGTATATTTTCAGCAATATAAAATAAGTCAAACTTTAGACCCTTTAAAATCAAAGCACGGAGAATTATTTAACAACAAAGTGTTAAAAAAGCAATATTTTGTACATGTATGGGTTTGAAATTTGACAGCCCCGGCTTGTACTTTTCCAAATCATATGGGAATAATTCATTTAGGAACAACCCTCTGTGCTCCTTTTTTTTTGACAGTGGGGAGTGTTCAATGAATCACCTGCTGTATCCACAGATTCCTCAAAAGTTAATTGAAAATTTCACCATGAGACCCTTCTTTAAGAGTGAAAAACCAGAGGACTGTGCGCTTATTAGATTATCCTCCCCCTTGGACTGCGTGCTGATAAGCGCAGGGCGCTCTGCCCTCTCATTTGTTTTACTTCTTTAGGTTTTTCCGTGGCTCCCATGATTCCCTGGGCCCCCACTGACAAACTGGCGGAGTCACAGGAAGTCAGAGTGTCCTGAGCATCTAAGTTAATAAATCAAACCTGGTGATGTCCTCTAAACAGGTTTGAAGGCAGAGGATAGCTCCTGTCCATTATTCATGAGCCCTCACAGGCAATCTGTCTGTGGCCGTGATCATGGCTTTTATTAAACAGACATCCTGGAGAGCCATTTGTCATAATTTCAGAACCCCTGGTGTCCCTTTGTGTTTGGGTCATTGGAAAGGGAATGTTTTGTGTGTAGCTATTTGATGCTTCTAACACCACTCTTGCAAAGACTTATGAAGCATTTTATTAAAACAGACGGTTCTTTTGTCATTGCTAACAGACAACAAAAACTCACCTCCCCATCTCTGCTTCTCTCCCTTGTGCATATGTGTACATGTATAATAATATACATAAAACCTGGCTTTCAGGAATCACTTGTCGTTTATTTTGTTTCTGTCTTGAGCCTCTATGGAACATTTCTGACTCTGTCGTAATATCATCTCTTTGGTCTTGGACAAGTCACAGCCAGCCTCTTTCAACTTGGCTTTCTTTTCCTGCACAGCAGGGATGGTTATGCCTGGAGTGTAAGAGAATAAAGTTTTGCAGAGTGTCACGTGAAATAAAAATGAAAATAGCTTTGTCACAGTTTTCCATACTGTCAGAGGAATACCGTATTTTTTCAAAGATGAAGTAAACTTTTATGGTATGATCTTCCCAGATGTGACTTATGATCAGCCACATATTTGTGTATGCAGTTACTTTGACTTTCCTGAGACTTAAATCATAAATATCTTAAGAGAAAAACCTGTAAACAATTACCTGAACCTGTATTTGCAAGCCACATTTGAGAATTTTCAGCAGTCTAACATTTACTTTCTGCCAATAGTAAAATTTTAATGTCGTGGTAGATATGCTAGTGTCAAATCCAAGTTTGTGTGCCTGATGAACAGTAAGCCCAAACAAGCTCCCAGTTGCAGGGCCAAGCAAGGGGAATGGGTGGCTTGTGCTCACAAGACCTGAACTCACTGATGGGTTTCAGGGCATAGTTTTTATAGACAAAATTGGCAGGGAGGTCTGCAGGGTATGTGACCTTCCTCTGATCAGTTGGTGGGGAGGTAACAGGATAGTGTTTGGCAGTCTCAATCACCAGCCTTCTGGTTCCAGCCAGCCTGGGGTCCGCTTGCCTGTGCTCAGCCTGAAGTTACCATCGTCCCTCTTGAAGAGGGCCTTAGTTCCTATAGAAGAACTCAGAGATCTGTGCCAGAGTGTTCTCTGCACCCCTTCAGTAGATACATACCTTGCCAGGTCCCTGCCCCATCCTTGCACTGCTGTTTCTGACTGCCTTTCCTCTGTTTCTGCATTTCCTTCACTCCTCTAATTTGTGGCTGTTTGAATCTGCCCTTTTGAACTCACGGCAGGTCTAGGAGGCTGAAATCTTTTTCCTACAAACAAGAAACCGGGGATCAATGAAGGTTTTTTTTTTTACCTAGAAGAACCCCACAAGGTTTTGTCTGGTTTCAATACAAATTTGTACAATCCATTACAGGTGTTTTGGGTGGTGTTTATAGGAAATAGAAAGGGATGGTTTTCAGGTCCAGGACAGAGAACTCATTTTGCTAATCACTGTATTAATAAGACAGAGACTTTGACACATGTTTGTATAACCCATTATAGGTGTTTTGGGTCATGTTTATAAGAAATAGAAAGGGATGATGACAGAGAACTCACTTTTGCTAATCATTATATTAATAAGATAAAGATGTGACAGCAACAGTTCCATCTATAATTTTGAGTTGCCAAGAGAAAAATCTGTCTTCCATTGCACAATCTTTATACTTAGGTCTTTTAGAAATGAATGTCACTAATGACAAGGAAAAGGGGTCAGTAATAAATTGGTGGAAAATGGTCACTGTGTCATACAGAGAATTGATAGCATGCATATGTTCTATTCGGCTCTCATAAAGAGTCAGACACGACTAAGTAACTGAACTGACTGAACTGATTGATATGTTCTATTTGGAGAAGGAAATGGAAACCCACTCCAGTATTCTTGCCTGGAGAATCCCATGAACAGAGGAGCCTGGTGGGCTACAGTCCATGGGGTCGCAAGGGTTGTGTATGAGTTAGCAAATAAACCACCACCACCATATGTTCTATTACATTAGATCAGCAGAGTCATTAGTACAGTTTTGTAAGGATGTTTGCAAAGACCTGGAATGGCTTTCTGTCAAAATTTAACTGGAATCTCTAAAAGGGTTTGTATTAGTTGTTGAAGACAAAGAGGACCGAATGGGTTTCCAACTTGAATGATGGGTGATGCTTGCAGTGCTGTTGTCTTGGCTATAGTGATAGGTCTACTGACTTTTGCGCTGTGTTTATTTCAGGTTGCTTTCAGCTATGTAACGTTTTCCGATCCCATGAAATGGAAATTGACCAGTGCTTGCTGGAGTCCCTCCCCCTGGGCCAACGGCAGCGGCTGGTGAAACGCATGCGCTGTGAGCAAGTCAAAGCGTACTATGAGCGAGAGAAAGCTTTTCAGAAGCAGGAGGGGCTCCTGAAGAAGCTGAAGCATGGGAAAAACCAGAAGGTTCACTTTAATCTTGCTGACATGATACAGGATGCCATTATCCACCATGATGACAAAGAAGGTAACGACAAGACAATCATTTTCTGATGTCGTGTTTCGTATTTGTTGCTTGTTGTTTTTGGTGGAGAAGTGCAAGATAGAATTGCTTTTAAATATGAGAGGTTTTCTTTTAACTATATGAAATATTCAAGGAAAAAAATAGCTTTCTTCAGTGAACATAGGTAAAGGTCCCAAGTCTCTTGGTAAAGATGAAAAAAGGCAAAATTTTAGTAAAATTGTTATGTATTAAAAAAAAATTACCTACCTAGAAATCAAGTGATTTCCTTGCAAATTGTTCAAATTATTAATGAAAATTTCTCCCAATGAAATTGTTTCTGTTGCTAATGAGATTGTGTTACAAAATTTATTATTATCTTATAGCGGGATAGATATAGTAGTGAAGTCACTTACCTCCAAAACTCACAGAATAGAATCAATTGTCTTATTCTTTAAAGTTGGTTGACTTTTAGTATCACATTTTATTAAGAATATACACTTAAAATTTTGGTTGCCCTTACAATACTATAAAGTTTCTCAATTTTTGTGTATTCTTTTATATGATGTTTTTGTTTGATTTACAGTCTACTTTCCAAAGTTTCAATGTGAGAGAAACTCTCCAACTTTAGGTTTAAATGTAGAAGGCTTCAAAGAATCAAATATAAATTAATTTATCTTGATTGGCTCTAAAATTACTGGTTGAATTAATCTAAAGCAGGCATACAGAGAGTACAGACCCATGACCCATTAATTACATTTCAATATAAAAATCTCTGGAAAACAAGTTTTTTTTTCCTTTTTGTGGGTGGAAGGCGGTAGGGGGCAGGGAGAGTGTAACTCGTTTAGTGGGAGAACTGTCCCTTGAATTACTTACAATTTTAACCTGTCCAGTCTGGAGAAATTAGTAACATTCGTGGCTCCAAAGCTTTCAAAGAGGAATTGTGGATCTTAGAAGACTGACGGTTCATCCTATACAATAATAGCAGTAATAAGAAGACTAAAGCAGTTCTTTTTATGGTTTTGTGTGGGCTTGATAGTCAAACTAGAAGACTCAGAGAAGTTATGAGATTTTTTTTTTTTGGTGAGTGACAAAGAATCTCCTAGCTGGGAAGGACCTAAGAAATTGTCTAGTTGAATCTCTTATTTTACACATGAAGGAACTGAGAGTCAGTCAAGGTATCAAATCTTATGGAAGGCTGTCTCAGACCACTTTCACCTCCCATTTTATTATTCTCTTCTCATGTAAAGCTCTTCTTTGAATGGCCATCTCCTCTGTGAAGCTATATGTACATCGAGGAACAAGGGACTGTCTGTCAGTTTCAGCATACCCACCTGCCCCTCCCAGTACCCTCCATGGGTGTGAAGGGAAAGAGTGAGTGATTTTTTCAAGTTTACCCAGCAGGTGTTGGCAGAGAATTCCTAAATTGGAATGCCGGTGGATTTAAGCCCTATGTTGATTTAAAAGTAAAGAAACAGCAAGGAAGTATTTGCAAAGTTGTAAAGCCTTCTGTGTAAAATTATTTAATTGCTAAGGCATATCTCTTGTGACCCCATGAACTGTAGACTTCCAGGCTCCTCTGTCCATGGGACTTTGTCAGCAAGAATACTGGAGTGGGTTGCCATTTTCTTTTCCAGGATATCTTCCTGATCCAGGGATCAAACTTGCATCTCTTCCTTGGTAGTTGAATTCTATACTACTGAGCTATCAGGGAAGCCCTCTGTGTAAAATAGCTACAGGAAAAAAATAATACCTAAGTTACTGTTAACAAGAGATTAAGCAGAGTAAAATAATAAACCCAGAGAACAAGAGGAAATGCTAATATATATGTCAGGTACTATAATTTGTGAAAACATTGGAACCATAAACTCTGACTTAATATTTTTAAAGAGTTGCTATAAACGTGAAACTATGCTGTCACTTGGGTAGTCAAAAAGCAGTGAGAGAGATGAATCCTATCTTCAGAAAAACTCCAATCTAAGTAGAAAAAGAGGAAAAAAAATCAGTAAAATAGAAAGCAGTGACTGAAAATGAAGTCTGATGGAGGTGGCGGAGTGGGCAAAGTTTTTTGGTGGCTGTGATTTTTTGAGTGACTCTGAATTTGAAGTGAAGTTGCTCAGTCGTGTCCAACTCTTTGCGACCCCATGGACTGCAGCCTACCAGGCTCCTCTGTCCATGGGATCTTCCAGGCGAGAGTACTGGAGTGGGTTGCCATTTGCTTCTCCGGGAGATCCTCCTGACCCAGGGACTGAACCCGGGTCTCCCGCATTGTAGGCAGACGCTTTACCGTCTGAGCCACCAGTTAAGCTCTTAGATACTTGCAGGAAGGAAAAGAATAAATCACTCCCCTTGAGCAGCAGTGCCAGTGAGCAGCTGCCGAGAACCGAGAGTCCCACGCACGCAGGTCTGTCTGAAAGGAGCTGTCAGTCAAGTCCGACTGTGCGACCCCATGGCCTGTAGCCCACCAGGCTCCTCTGTCCACGGGGATTCTCCAGGCAAGAATACTGGAGTGGGTGGCCACGCCCTCCTCCAGGAGATCCTCCAGGAGATCCTCCCGACCCAGGGATTGAACCTGCGTCTTCTGCGGCTCCTGCATTGGCAGGCGGGTTCTTTACCACTAGCACCACCTGGGAAGCCCCGTGTAGTATGCAGATAGTGATAAATGCTGAGGAGTCCACAGTTGCCTTCTGAAGGTATATGAGGGAAGGGGCATGTCAGGTGAGTACAGAGATGGGGAGCATCCCAGCTTGATAAAGCAGCCAGTGGTAGGAGCAGATGAATAAGTGGGGAGACAGAAGGAGAGGAGCCAGACCCCTTGGGGACTCGGAGGGTTGGGGGGTGGCCTCTGGCTGTCGTGTCCCGCACCTGCTGAAGCCGTTGGAGAATCTGAGCAGAAGAGAGACCTGCTCTCCCTTGTGAGTTACCAGAACTGGCTTGGCTGCTGCATTCTGAACTCATGGAAGGATTTCCAGGGCAAAAGCGGGGAAATTGGTTGGGAGGTTCTATTGATAAACCCAGTGAGAGATGATGGGGGCTTGGACCAAAATGGAACAAGGATGTGGTGAGAAATAGTCAATTTGGGGATACATTTTTAGAATAGAGCTGACAGGAAATGCTGATGAACTGGTGACAGGGAATATAATAATTTTCCATTGCTGCCATAACAAGTTGCTGCAAATTTAGCAGCTGAAAATAATCTCAGCAATTATCATATGGTTCCATAGGACAGATGTCTGGTGTGGGTCCCAGTGGGCTGACATCAAGGTTATCATCAGGGCTGTTCCCTTCTTGGAGTTTCTGTCGGGTAGTCTGTTTGCAGAACTTTTTCAGTTTCTGGAAGCCATCTGCATCCCTGAAACCTTAGCCTCCTCTTCCATTGTCAGAATCAGCAGCAGCAGGTTGAGCCTTGCCTCTCAAGCTTCGAATTCCTCTTGTTTCTTTTCTGTCCTTGCTCACATCTCTCTGACCAGATGTTTTGCCCTTCTCTTCTTCATTTAGGGGCCCTGTGATTGCATTGGGCTCGTCTGTATAATAGAATTCAGGGAAATGGCCCTATTTTAAGGTCAGCTCATTAGCACTCTTAATTCCCTGTCCCCAGATCATGTAACATATTCACATGCATAACATCAGAGGGTGCAATTCATGGAAGCAAAATCCTACCTGCCATGGGGACTGAGAAGCTCAAGGATAACCTCAACATCCTTTGTTCTGCCCTGAACAATCAGAAAAATGAAATGCTATTAAGTGAGTTAGGGGTGCCTCTAGGAAGTCAGAATAAGAGGGGGTGTTGCGCTGGCTGGAGATGTAAACTTGATACAGATGAACGTATAGGTGGTATTGAAAGCCCAATGATTTACAACATCACTTAGGGAATGAGTGTAGATAAAATTATAGGGATATGAGGCGTACCCCTTGGGACTGGGTCCCAAGGAATTCCAGTATTAAGAGTTGAGTGAAATGAGGAAAAGCCCCCAGAAGAAGGGAGAAAAATGAGGTTAGGGTGCTTTTCTTGGAGTTAAATAATGAGAAATTTTCAAGGAGCATGAGTAATCAACTATTCCAAATTCTTCTGCTCAGTCCAGTGGGATAAAGGCTGGGTCTTGACCATCAAGCTTAGAAATATGGAGATGACTGGTTTGGTGAATTGTAAGAAGCAGAAATCTTAAAGGTATGAGTTCTAACAGAGTGGGAAAACAGAAATGGGCCCAGCGAGTATAGAGAGCTCTCTAGAGGAGTTTTTTTTTTTTTGATCAATTGAAGTATAGTTGATTTATAATGTTGTGTTAGTTTCAGGTATACTTCAAAGGGTACATATATGAGTTATATAAGTACATAATTATATATATATATATATATATGTATAACATATAATATATTCTTTTACGTTCTGGTTTATTACAAGATATTGAATACAGTTCCCTATGCTATAAGTTCAGTTCAGTCACTCAGTCGTGTCCGACTCTTTGTGACCCCATGGACTGCAGCACACCAGGCCTCCATGTCCATCACCAACTCCTGGAGTTTACTCAAACTCACGTCTATTGAATCGGTGATGCCATNTGGGATCTTCCCAGACCTGGGATCTAACTCACATCTCTTACATTGGCAGGTGGATTCCCTCCCTCTGAGCCACCAGGGAAGCCCCTACCGTGTTTATTCTTTAGGGGTGAAACAACACAATCAGTTTCTGAAGATTCTTGGAGACAAATGTCCTCAAATACAACTTATATAAATTTCCTTGTCCCAGGAAAGAGTTTCTGTTACTAATGCAAACAGAGATAATGTTCATTAACTAAGGTCATTATTGCCATCAAATGATGAAGAAATAGTTGAATGGCTTCAAATTCAGCCAGAGTTTTAATTTGTAGTCAATGATAAACATTTTAGGTATATTACTGCAATGTAAATAAAAATTTCTGTGCACACAAAAATTTCTGTGTCTTAGCTCTGATTGCTGTAACAAAATACTCTAGACCTGATGGCTTCAACAATAGACATTACTTTTTCATAGTTCTGAAGGCTGGAAC